TATATTCCCAGTAGTGGAATTGCTGGGTCAAATGGTATCTGTATTTGCAACTTTTTGAGAAAGTGCCATACCACCTTCCACAGTGGTTGCACCATTTTACACTCCCATCAACAATGAATAAGGGTTCCAGTTTCTCCACAACCTCGCCAGCATTTGTTGCTTGCTGTTTTGTTCAATTTTACTATTCTTACTGGGGTGAGATGATATCTCATAGTCGTTTTGAAATCATTTTCATTTTTAAAATTGTGATATGAGTGAATGGTTACATAGAAAATTCATTTCCTATTTAGCTTTATCCACTTTTTATCATGAACCATGATATTTTCAGTTGCTCATATGAATAATTTTTGCTGTTGTGTATCATAACCAACCCATAGCTGACTCTTCAATGAATTTTCAGAGGCAGTAAATTGCATGAGAGGAGATTACATCAACACCCTGCGTTGTCTAGATGACACAACCTTGTTTACTGAAAGTGAGGAAGACCTGAAGCACTTGCTACAGAGGATCAAGGACTGCAGCTTTCAATATGGATTATGTCTCATTATCAAGAAAACAAAATTCCTCACCACTGCACCAATAGACAACATCATGATAGATGAATTAAAAAAAAAAGTCAATGATTTCATCTTGCTTTAGTCCATAATCAGCATCCTTGGTACCAGCAGTCAGGAGATCAGGAGGTGTAAATCATTGGAAAGTCTTTTGTCAGGGTTCTCTCCAAAATCTTGAATAGCAGTCATGCCAGTCTAAAGATTAAGGTGAGCCTGATTCAAGCCACAGTCTTTCCAGGCCTGCTATGCATCTGAGGGACCTCTAGTTGCCTAGTGGTAAGGAGCATCACTGCCAACCTGAAGGCATGTGGTTTGAATCCACCAACTGCTCCATGAAAGTAAGATGAACAGTCTCCTCCCATGCAATTTACTGCTGCTGAAAACCTATTGCAAGGCCAGTTTTGGGTTAGTTTTGACATAATGGTACTCAGCAGCAACAACAACATGAATCAGAGCTAAGGAATAAGGATGAGAGAACTGATGCATTTGAGTTGTGATTTTGGAGAATAGTGAAGAACAAACATAATCTTGGAGAAAGTGTACCTGGAGTACTGCTTGGAAGCAAAGATGATGAAGCTTCATCTCACATATGTTGGACATGTTATTAGAAGAGGCTGTTTCTTGGGAAAGGACATCATGCTTGGAAAGGTGGAGGCTCAGCAAAGGAGAAGATGACCCTCAATAAGAAGGACTGATACAATGTCTGTGGCAATGGACTAAAATGTCAAGGATGATAAGAATGGTGCACAATAGGACAGAGTTAAGATTATCTTTCACGGTTTTACTATGAGTCATACTCGACTGAATGGAACTTAACAACAATAACATATGAATTGGGAAGACTGAACAAGAATTGATAACTTTGAATTATAGTGTTGGTGAAGTATATTAAATATAGCATGAACTTCTAGAAAAATGAACAAGTCGGCCTTGAAAGAAGTACAGCAGATATGAAGATGGTGTCTCTGTCTCATGTGCTTTGGACATGTTTTTAGGAGGACCAATTCCTGGAAAAAGACATTATTGTCAAGTACCTTATGGTCAATGAAAAAGTGGAAGACAGATTGACACAGCGACTATAAGAAGGGGCTTAACCATAACAACATTTTTGAAGATGCCTAAAAAGTACCAAGGGTCAACATGAATTAGAACTGATTTCTTTCTAGTTGTTATTAATTAATGACATCGAGCTTCAATAATACCAACAACAAAGTTGTATATACTATTATGTTTAAAATTGGTAGAGTTCTTTTCCATTCCATAATTGGACTTATGAATGTTCTTTCTTATTCAATAAGACTTGAATATCGTGGCACCTTTCTGTGTACAGATAAAACTCCTATATTATTGTTACATTGGAAGCAGAAAGTGGCATCCACTTGCTAACCAACATGCCTCTGGAAATTCTATGAACTTTGATAAATGGCAATAGTTATAGAAAACCTTCAGGCCTTTTGTTCATAGGGTAGCTATGTGTCGTGCTCGACAACATATCATTACAGGAATTTTAACTATTACACAAAGGAAAGTCAGTCTTTCATTTACTTACAAAAGTAGCATTATGATTTATGAGAGTATGAAGAAGGATTCAGTTTGAATCATTAGAAGTAATTTGTTTTTAGAAGTAAGCATAAGAATATAAAGGAGCCCTGATGCCTTAGTTAGTTACAAGTTGGACTGCTAATTGAAAGGTTGACTATTGGAATCTACCAGCTGCTTCGTGGAAGAGTGTTGAGGCCACCTCCTTGATAAAGATTCACAGCCTCAAGGCTGATGAAAGGTTGCCAAGAGTCTGAAATGACTCAGTGACTGTAAGCTTGGTTTTATAGAGGACAAGGGAGTCAAACTTGTTCCTGAGGAGTTTGGCATATTTTACTCTCTGGAAAGCACATGAAATATCTGTTTTTTATAATAAGTTTAAAAATTACTGTAGAAATAATTCCATAATTTTAAACATTTTTGTATGAGTTTATCTTTAAATGATAATAGAAAAGATTATAACCCAGATGTTACTGGTTGGAATTGATTAAATTATAATGTTCATAAAATAAATTGTAGAACTGTTAGCAAGATTGGCTTGTTATTGTTGTGTTATGTGCTGTTGAGTCACTTCTGACTCATTGAGACCCTGTGTACAACAGCCCTCTAAAACCATGCTCTATCTCTTTGCCAACGTTGTTGTCTCTGACACACCTGTCCCCATTACCCCAGTGATGGAATTAATCCATCTCATCGACGGTCTTCCCCTCCCAAGCATGACGTCCCACTCCAAGGACTCATCTCGCCTTGCAACATGTCCAAAGTATGTAAGATGGAGCTTCAAAAGCCTTGCCTTCAAGGAGCAGCCTGGCTTCATCCTCTCCAGGATGAACTTGTTTGTTCTCCTAGCAGTCCATGGTATATTCAGTACTCTTTTCCAGCAGCACCATAGCTCAAAGGCATCAATTCTCCTTCTGTCATCCCTAGTCATTGTCTGGCTTTCTGATGAATAGCAAGTAATTGCAAAGACCATGGCCTGTATCAGGTGCACCTTAGTCTCCAGACTGGCATTTTTGCTCTTCAGTACCTTGGAGAAGTCTCTGACAGCTGACTTTCCCAATGTAATTTGTCTTTTTTTCCCTGACTTCTGGTACCAAGAGTGTTGATTGTAGAGCCAAGCAAACTGAAACTGGTCAACAATCTCAATGTCTTCACCATCTATCATGATGCTGCCAATCGGCCCAGTGGTGAGAATCTTTGTTTTCTTGATATTGAGCTTCAACCCATATTGAAGGTTGCAGTCCTTAACCTTCTGCAACAAGTGTTTCAGGTTCTCCTCGGTTTCAGCAAGCAGGCTTGTGTCATCTGCATAACGTAGATTGTTTTAGTAGATTTATATTTACCAACTTAGAATGTGTTTTTGAAAGTTACATGAAGTAGAATGTAAAGCAGTATGGTAGAGAGTTTGTTTTCACAGATGTGTCTGTATGCATGTAAGAGAAAATTTAAATATGTATAATTTTGCATACGTTTTTCTCTCATACTAATAGTTAATATTGAACAGTTTCTCAGGTTATTAAAGAATTCTCAGTTGTGCTTATAATTATCTATTAATTGCATAAATTCTAAACTCCAGTGTCAAAAAATTATAGTTATTTCTTGCTTTTATTCCTTAACGTCTATCTTTTCTTTGGCTGTTTAATATATACATTTACCTAGCATAAAAGTTAAAGATCAAGTGAAACATAAACAACTTGTCTTATATCTTCACAGGGATTTATTCAGTAGAACTCATAAATGACAGTTTATATGACTGGCATGTCAAACTACAGAAGTAAGTAGCCTTTTTATGCTAACACACTGTACAGTAGAGGGCTTTAAAAATGGACACCTGCACCCCTTGCCCTAATTTTACTTAGTACTTTAGACCCTGCCACTGTAAATATAATTCTTAGATTTTTAAAATGGGCTATTTTTGAGGTGTAATAAGTGAAATAAAAGAAGGTAAAAAGAATAAGGGCAGCTGTGGATAGAGTATTACCTGGTGTCAGGGAAAGATTGATGGAACCTAGAAACAAAAGTGTATTTAATTATAAATTGATTATGATATCTAGTTTATGTAGTTTGAAATAAAGGATTTGAGTAGGAGCCATTTATAGAAAAGTTGTATGATTTTGAATGTTCTTGTCTATAGTAGTTTATTCTTTGAGCCTGAAGACTTACAATACAATTTTAGAGAAGTAGGTTAAAGTATAAGTTCTAGATATTATAATATATAGATTACAATATTACTGTGTAAGAAAATTATGTACACATGACCATGATGATTTTCTTCTAGAATGACTACTATCTTAGAACATATTTGTTCCCATTCCCAAGAAAGATGATCCAGCTGAATCTGGAAACTATCGAACAATATCATTAATATCACATGCAAGCAAAATACTGTTGAAGATCATTAAAAATGGTAAGGAATTGCCAGAAGTTCAAGCAGGATATAGAAGAGGCTGTGGCACCAAGGATATCATTGCTGATGTCAGATGGATCCTGCCTTGAAAGTGGGAAATACCAGAAGAATATCTATTTGTGCTTTGTTGACAATGCAAAGGCATAAGACGGTGTGGATCATAACACATTGTGGCTGACATGGAGAAGAATGGGGATCCCAGAGAACTTGATTATGGTCATTCGAACCCTGTACCCAGACCAGGAAGCTGTTGTGCAAATGGAGTAGGGGAGCACTGCATGGTTTGGAATTGGGAAGGGAGTGCGCCAGGTTGTATTCTCTCTCTATACCTATTCAGTCTCTATGCTGAGCAAATTATCCGAGAAGCTAGACTATGAAGAGGGATGTGGCATCAGGATTGGAGAGAGACTCATTAATAACCTGCATTACGCAGATGACACAACCTTGCTCCCTGAAAGTGTGGGAAACTTGAAGCATTTATTACAGAGGATCAAGGAATGTAGCCTTTGGTATGGATTGCATCTCAATGTCAAGTAAACAAAACAGATTTTTACCACTGGACCGAACAAAATCATGATGGATGGAGAGGAAATTGAAACTGTCAACATCTTCATCTTGCTTAGATCCACAACACCCTTGGTATGATCAGTCAGGAAATAAGGAGACACATTGCACTGGGAAAACCCTCTCCAAATTATTGAGGAGTAATGATGAGTTTGAGGACTAAAGTGTGTCTGATTCAGGCCATAGTCTTTCCGATGACTTGCTTTGCATCTGAGAGCTGGACAGTGAATAAGGATGACAGGAAAAGAATTGATGCCTTTCAGTTGTGGTGGTAGAGAAGAGCACTAAACATCCCATGGATGGCCAAAAGAACAGATAATGTCTTGGAAAGGGTACAGCTGGAATGCTTTTTAGAGACAAGTATCTATGAGGCTTCACCTCACATACTTTGGGCATGTTGCTGTTGCTATTCCTGGAAGAAGGACACGATGCTGGAAAGGGTAGAGGGTTGGCGAAGAAGAGGAAGACCCTCAACCAGGTGCACTGACATGGTGACTGCTGCAATTGGCTCTTGTGTGTCAGAAAATGTGAGGATAGCAGACCTTTTGTCTGTAGGGTTGCTGTGAGTCATACTCAACTTGATGGCAACTAACAACAACACTACTATCTTAGACTCTACTTAGCAGAATAAATTTACAGTACTTTTACCTTTTTGATGTTTAAGGGTGCTGTATGTCATGGGACATAGAGCAGCTGTAGACAGTTTATGTTTGTCATTTTCCCTAAGGTCTCCTTTTTTGCTCTTGGATTGATTTATTTTTGAGATTATACTAAGAAAAATCCCCTGATGTCTTCTGAACGGTTTTTTGTTTTTTAATTCTCAGGGTTGATCCTGATAGCCCTTTGCACAGTGATCTTCAAATCTTAAAAGAAAAAGAAGGCATAGAATATATTTTGTTTAATTTCTCTTTTAAGGTAAGAAAACAGTTACAGAATTTCCATATGCTTAAGTTGGGAGCATATATTCACAGGACTGCTTTCGGAAATTTATTATTTCTTGGTACAGTAAAGGATGCTTAAGCTGAATTCTCTAGAGGAGCAAAATAAGTGAATAAAATATATCTGTTTTGCACAAAGGCAAGCAGTTTGAATCCATGAGGGAGAAAGGTGGACAATTTCCTTCATGTTTTTTATAGTCTATAAAACATTCTTGGAGGGGGCTTAATTTCAACTCAAAGGCATTAAGGGAAAGAGACAGGTCTGTCTGTATCTATATGCACACATCTATATCTCTCTCTCTATATCTATAAACACTGTAGCCAATTTAAGTCCATCAGGAGCTCTCCAGAGGAAACACAATCTTCTCCCATTCGACTTACATCCTATGAGTCTGCTCTGAGTTGATGGCAGTAGTTTGAATTTGGATTTTACACACACACACACACACACACACACACACACAAAAGAATAGAGAACATGTGTGTGAGTATGAGCGTGAGTATGGCTCAGAGGCACTTGTGAAGACTAGCTGGAGGCATCTCCTGACTCATGCAACATAAGGTGATGAACCCAAAAGTGGCACATCAGAAGGCATGCTCCTCGATCACATGACTTTACGGCCTGTGGAAACTGGTAAATATCAAAACTTGTAAGTCAGACAGCAGGCTGCTAATTTGCATTCCAGGAACTGGAGGTAAGGTGACGAGTGGAATTCATACAGTCTCAAGAGAGAGCTTTGCTAGACCTTCTGTATCTAATGGTTGCAGGCCACACACTAAGGAAATACATTTTACATCAGAGTGTAACATAGAGGACAATTACATAATGCTGAGAGTCATAGCTGCCTTGGATTGAATTGTGGTGCCCCCCACTCCACCCATATGTATCAACTTGGCTGAGCCATGAAATCTCATTGGTTTGGAAGTTATGTAATGATATATTTTTGGCAGTTTTGTAATGGTAAGATTACATGTAATCAGCCAAACATTTGTAAGATAATTAAGGTGGGATGCAGTATCATCACTTAGGTTACAACCTTGATTAGATATAAGAAGGTTTTACTCTGGAGCATAGTCTGTATCATCTTTCATAAGAGAGAACAAGAAGGGAATGCAAGCAGAAAGAAGGGACCTGACTACTCCCATGAAAAAAGAGCTGAGAGTAGAGCGTGTTCTTTGGACCCAGAGTTCCTACACAGAATCCCAGACCCAAGGAAAGGTGAATGCTGAACACACATAGAGATCACTAAGGAATGCCAGGCCCACATATGGAATTTTCCTCAGATCTAACAAAGAAAGCCTTTTCATAGAGCTGGTGCCCTGAATTTGGTCTTTCTAGCCTCTTAGACTATGAGAGAATGAATTTCCATTTGTTAAAGCCATCTACTTGTGGCATTCTGTTACAGTAACAGTAGGTAACTGGAACAGACTTTGATGTCCCCGGAACACCTATCAGTAGAGCTAAAGAACTTTTTAACACTTGGCCAAGCAGGGCAGAGGCTGGCATACCAAGAAGCCAGTGAACTGGGAAGCAGAGCTATCTTGATCTCAAAGGGTAGAGGGTAGAGTCATGACTTCTGTAGTCTAGGTTGAAATAATAATCTGCTAGTTCTCAAAAGGTGAAGCAGTTTCAGAATGTGGGACTGTAGTTCATTAGTGCCAAAAGGATGGGACAGGAACCAGTTCTCAAAACTGAGGTGAAGTTGCCATGGGGCAAAAGAATGAGTTCTGCTGGACTGAGGGCTTAGGGTCACCATTCAGTTGGTTTTATGATATTGGGGCTCCCAAAGAAAGAAGGATTAGTGTTTCTCACTCCATGTACTGAGGAAGCAGAGCTGAAGCCTTGGGAATTTTGGACTTAACTTGATACCTGTTATTCCTTTCTGCTCTACAGTTTCCCTCCTTTGTAATGCAAAGGTCTCCCTTGTGCTTGTTCCACAATTATATTTTGGAAACAAATAACTTGTATCCATAGATAAAGAATAGTTTTACTCCATAATCATATTTGAATTGAAGTTGATAGGAAGAAGCCTTGACATTAAATGAGTAGCTCTTAATGATAAGGTCAATGGTTTGAACCTACTTGGTGTCTGCCTTCCTCAGGTATGTGCAACAAAGCTCTTTTGTTCTTATTGTTTGGCAGTGAGTATGAACCGACCCATAGCTGACCCTCCACTGAGTTTTCAGAAGCAGTAAATCTCATGGAAGATTGCCCATACTTCTCCCATGGAGCATCTGGTGGATTCAACCTGATGGCTTTTGGGATTGCAGTGCACCTTCTTTTTTTTTTTTAAAAAACAACAACAACAACAACTTATTAATAATTTTAATGAAAATTTACAGAGGCTTTGGATTTCCATTCATTCATTGTTTCACTTTTTCCCTGCCCCCTCATCTCCCCAGTTCACTCTTCTTTTTGAAAAGGAAAAGAAAACTTCTTTCATTGTTACATAATCCCTCCCCCCCAGGTCCACTCCACTATGCAGCCTTTGTTCTGGACTCCTGTCATGACAGTAATACTTAATCACATAGCCCTTTTAAACAGTTCTCTCCCTCATCTCTTTCAATGCAGTATACATTATTTATCCCATGTTTCTCAGTCTCCCCCCAGCCCCGATGTCAGTCCTGTTTTACAACAGTGGCACTATACAGTATTTGTCCTTTTGTCACTGAGATATTTCACTTAGCATAATGTCCTCCAGGGTCACCCATTTTGAATATTTCATGAGTTCCTTGTTTTTCAATGCAGTGTAGTATTCCACGGTGTGAATATACCAGAGCTTCTCTATCCATTCATTTGTTGATGGGCACTTAGGTTGTTTGCATATATCTTCTTGGGTGGCACTTATGGTTGCTTTGGGGTATATTCCCTGTAGTGGAATTGCTGGGTCAAATGGTATCTCTATTTACACTTTTTGAGAAAGCGCCATACCGCCTTCCATAGTGGTTGCATGATTTCATACTCCCACCAACAGTGAATAAGGGTTCCAGTTTCTCCACAACCTTGCCAGCATTTGTTGCCTGCTGTTCTATTATTTAGCTAGTCTTACTGGGGTGAGATAATATCTCATAGTTGTTTTGATTTGCATCTCTCTTAGAGCTAGGATTGAACATTTCTTCATGTGCTTGTTAGTCATCTGAATGTCTTCTTTGGTGATGTGTCTGCTCATATCCTGTGCCCATTTTTCAATTGGATTGTTTATCTTGTTGTGGTGGCAACGCACCTTCTTAATACTAGGCCATCAGAGCTGCCTACAAAGCTCTTCTATACAGTAACATTCCCACTTCACTCCATGGCTAGTGTGATAGGTAATGTTGATTCCCTTCCCCATGACATCACATTTGTCCATTACATTGATGGAAGGCTGATTAGATCTAGTAAGGAAGAAGTAATAATGACTTTTTACTTACTGGTAAAACACTTGCATGCGAGAGGTTGGAAAATTAGCCTGACAGTGTCTTTCCACCTCAGTAAAATTTCCAGGGATCCAAGTTGAGATAATTCTGTCAAAATGATCGTTAAGTTATTGCATCTGATCCCTCTCATGCTAAAAAGGTGGCACAATACTTGGGGTGGGCCTTCCCCCCCATTTTGGATATGACACATGCTTTATTGGGTGCTACTTGGACTTATTTATCAAGTGACTTGATAAACTGCTAGTTTTGAGTAGGGCCCAGAGTGCAAGAAAGCTCTTTAACAAATTTGGGCTGCTGTACAAGTACTTTCTGATCCAGTGGTGCATGAAGTGGGAGAGACATGTTCTTTACAGTCTGCAGGCCCTATTTTGAATCACAGTGCAGGTCCTGGGGATTTTTGAGACAAAGCCCTGCCATCCTCTGCAGATAGCTATTCTCCTTTTGAGAAATAGCTTTTGATTTGGTACTGGGCCTTAGTGGACGTTGAACACTTAATCATGGGCCACCACCTTACCATGTAACTTAATCATGAACTGAGTGTTATCTAACCCAGGCATAAAGTTGGATTTGAACAGGAGCACTTCATCTTAAATAGAAATAGTATATATTGAGATTGGGCTGGAGCAAGACGTGAAGGCCCAAGTAAGTTGCATGAGAATGTGACCCAAATATCCTGAGTCTCTACTCCTGTCACTTTACCTCTCCTTTCCTGTATACACCTTTGGCCTCCTGGGAAGTTTGTTATTTGTCTCTTGACCGAGCAAAAAAAACTCACACCTGGTTTATAGATGGTTCTACACAATACGTTGACACCTCTGAGAAGTCGAAAGTGGCGATATCTTAGCCTCTTTTGGGGTCCTTCCTGAAAGACAGTGGTGAAGGGAAATTTTCCCATGGGCAGAGCTTACAACAATACACCTTGTTTTTTACTTTACTTGGAAGGAGAAATGGTTTTATTTGCTCTACACCAGGGTTCATTATATGGCACTGTTTGCCCAGTAGCCTGAATTCATGGTCCTAGGAACTGAGGTCTGGGAATGGAAATAATGTCACTCACTTTTGTCCCTTGTCACCCCTTGAAAAATATTCACTCCCTGGATGGGTCTAGAGGTCTTAGTTCCAAGAAATAAAATTCTGATTCTACTGAGGTGAATAAATGCTGCTCAGTCACTTTGAACTGCTCATGCCTTTGGAAAAAGCAGAATCATTGCTGTCAGGTTGGAGCTGACTCCTGTCTGACCCACGAGTGAGTTTTGGAGGCTGTAAATCACATGGGAGCAGATTACCTATCTTTCTCCCTTGTAGCCACTGATGGAGTTGAATCAGAGGAGAATCACCACTGCTTAGCAGCACAACTCCCTATGATTGACACCACAAGAGCTCCCTTCCTGCCTCTGCAGTAGCAGGCAAAGAGTTACTGTATTGACTGGTCTGATTGATCCTGAGTCCCAAAGAAAGATAGGCTTGATGCTGGCATAATTAGGGTTAAAAAAAAGTATGTCTGGAATATGGGAGATTCTTTAGGTCATCTCTCAGTGTTACCATGCTCTGTGATTAAAAGTCCATAGAGAACTACATCAACCAGTTTCTGACTTTTTAAAATTTTATTAATTTTAATGAATATTAACAGAGATTTTGTATTTCCATTCATTCATAGAGTTTTGAATCGACTTTTGGCTCATATCCTTTAGGAGAAAATGTTTGGACCACTGAGGTGCTTGCTGACAACAAAGGGATACAGAATCAGTGGTGAAAAGAACATAATTCTAAATACTGACTTCAATCATGTGTGCGACCAGTTCCAGAAATGAGTACTGTTGTTGTTATGAGCATTTCTTCCTTGTACGCATGTGTGGTTTTAAAAGTTTGCTATTCAAAATGGCTTGCTAAGCCACTGAATTTGACTTTGCTAGGTGGATGGGCAGGATATGTAAATAAGGTTTGTTGACTTGGAGTCTCACCACCAGCAAAGCAGCAGCAGGTATGCAGTGTGTGCACTTAGGAGCCAGAGATTATTGCTCACCTAGACTTACAGCAGCAGCAGTAGTGGCCAAGAAACAGAGGACCGGTGACCCAACATGAGACAAAGCTGACCTTGGGACTGCTACCATCCACTGAACCAGAGAGGACTTGGCAGGGAGGGAGCAGTGGGGGAGAACCTAATTGGCAGGATAGAGAGCTTGGTAACACTAGCTTAAAACTGAGAGGCTGAAGTCTTGAGGTGCCTGTGAGCACATTCTGGAAGCTGTCCTGACTTTCTCCTGAGGAAATTTCATGGTGAACAACCTAGTTATTCATGTAAGCAACCAGCCATGACTATTCCTTCTAGTCCTGATTCTCTATCCTCTGTTGCTCCAGGTAAATGAAGACCTGTTGTCCTTTCGATGGCCACTTGGCAAATTTTAAGACTCCAAGCATTATGCCATTAACGAGGAGGTAGAACGTTAACACCAAATATGTTATTAGACCAACTAACTGGGATGTACTGTAAAATCATGCCCTTAAATCTCTATACCAAGCAACTGTGGTTATTGTACATAACAATTTCAATAGCTACTTTATTTTTCCTTCTGATTATTGTTTGAAACTTTGTTCATTTGTTTATAGGCATTTAAGGTGTGCCTACCTTTTAGCTACAGGTAACCCCCTCTTTTCAAAAGTTCACATTACATCACTTCAATTTTATGAAAGACCTACTTTGGTGCTTACTTTTGCTAACTGGAAGAGGCGTCACGGTTTTCTAAAAAGTAGATGAAGTGGGCAAAACTAGTAATTGATATTTATTTGTAGGAAGCCATTAAAAATGGCAGAGTCTACCTTAAGCAGCAAGAGATGACATCACCAGCTTGCTTTCTAGGACCTGTATTCTGCATCTGAGCATGAAGCTGCAGTAGCTGCCCCTGTTAGTGCTATTTTAGGTTTTATGTGGTTGTCTTTTTGCATGATTCTGATAGATTATCTTCTGGGTCTGAGAAGCCACAAAATACTTTCCTGTTTAAGTTTATGGTAATAGTTTCTTTTCTTTTTGCTGTTTTGGCCTATCATAGAATTCATAGTAACACTTTATTTCTCACTAGTGTATCAGCTATGAGTTGGTTCCAGCTCAGTAGCACACAACAACAGCAACTTCAGGTCACAGGAGAAACTTGTACTGGAAATAGTACTGTAGTGAATATGATACACGATAGGAATGAAGTCTTTTGGACTTTTACTTAGGAGTAGAATTACTGTCATTTATGTTTTTAAGAAACTGCTACACTGTTTCCAAACTCAAATAGTTTTTGAGTGTACACATTCTTATAGACTATTTTACATCTCCTAAGTAAGATACTATTGAGAATGTTCATTAAAGTAATTAAACTTGCTTATTTACTTTATAGGATAACTTTCCATTTGATCCTCCATTTGTTCGAGTGGTATTACCTGTTCTCTCAGGAGGGTAAGTTAATATAATTATTTCCTTAAATTGTATACATCAGAATCATTTGTGGGGCAGGATACGATACAAAAGACACAAAGACATAAACTCCTAATCCCAAAGTTTCGTCTTCTGCAGGTCTGGGTGAAGCTTGACAATTTGCATTTGTAAGAGGTTCTCAGGTGAAGCTAGTGATGCTCATTTGAGGACCACATTGTCAAAGTCAATGGCTTCTTTATGAGTGGAGGTTTTAATATACATCTATATATATTTCTGTGCACTTAATTAATTGTTCTCATGCAAAACCTGTACATACACCAAGAAGGTGTTCTCCAAGCAGAAAAAGGAACATTGCATCGTTTAAAATCAGGAGAGATGTGTGTCAAGATTATGGGTTGTGGTATTAAGATTATGTTTTTTTGAAGATTATTCAAAAATGCATGAACAACATAGTTCTTAAAAAGCAAGACAAAAAATGTAATTAAAAGATATTTTATTATGAAAGTATTCCCTAACAGAAAAAAACAAAAAACAAAAGAAAAAACCCCAAAAACAGCTATAATTGTACATCAACAGGAAACTGCCAGAATTTCAGGCTGAGAAGAGACCATGGCAAGAGAGATCATTACTGATATCAAATAATTCTTGGCTGAAAGCATAGAATACCAGAAAGATGTTTTGTGACCATGCATCGGCATTTATTGTGTGAATAATAACAATTTATGCCTTACATTGAGAAGAATGGGAATCCCAGAACATTTAATTGTGTTAATACAAAACCTATTCATAGATATCAAGAAGCAATTTCAACACAATAAGGAAACACTGTATGTTTTAAAATCAAGAAAAGTGTGCATCAAGATTATATCTTGTCTGCATATTTATTCAATCTATATGCTGAGCAAATCATTGAAGAAGCTAGATTGATGAAGGAGAATATGGCATTAGCATTGGAGGAAGACTCATCAACAACCTGCACAAATGACACTGCCTTGCTTGCTGAAAGTGAAAAGGCTTTGAACAACTTGCTTAAAAAAAAATCAAAGACTACAGCCTTCAAAATAAACTGTATCTTAACATCAAGAAAACAAAAATCCTTATCATTAGAGCTTTAGGTAATATCACAATAGATGGAAAAAAGATTGTAATTCTCAAGAATTTCATTTTACTTGGATACACAATCAACACCCATAGTAGCAGGAATCAAGAAATCAAAAGACATACTACATTGGAAAAATTTGCTGTCAAGGACCTCTCCAAACTGTTAAAGAGCAGTATTGTCAGTTTAAAGACTAAGGTGCCATAGATCCAAACTATGATGGTTTCATTTGCTTCTTGTTCCACTGAAAGTTAAACAGTGAATAAGGGTGAGAGAAGAATCAATACCTTTAATTGTATGGTTGGAGAAGGATACTGCCTATTCCATGGACTTCCAAGAGAAGTCTGTGTTGGAGGAGGTATGACCAATGTACATCTCAGAGGCAAACATGGTGAAACTTTGTTTCTTTTTCCTTGGGCAGATTGTCAGGAGTCCTTGGAAAAAGACAACATATTGAAAAGGTGAAGGGTCAAGGAAAGACCATTAGCAGGATGGGTTGACCTAGTAACTTGGCCATGGTCTCCTAAAACAAGCTTTAATTTCTGGAAGTTCCCTATTGATGTACTGTTACAACTGTTTTGTTTTTTCATTACAGCTGTTTTTGAATAATCTCAACTGTAATGGGCTTCAGTATATCAGTGCTTGTGAGCATGGTGCAGAATAGGGCAAGGTTCAGATCTTTTGTTTGTAGGGTCACTGAGTTGTCATGAATGCAGTGAAACAAAACAGCAGCAGCATGCAAGACACCTGAAATAACTCAAATAGGAATTGTTAGTAAAGTTAAAGGTAGTCAGGAACTTAGGGCTCAAAGCATTAGCTGAATTCTTCAACTACATACATAGGGTGTGATTTTTACCTTGGGTTAAACAACTTATTGCTGACTTCCTATCTTAAGGGGAAAATACTTTGTTACCGTAGAAAAGTTGCTTGTATTTGACATGTTGGATAAAGAAGAAAACTCTAAAGTCATTGCCCTTGAGTGGGAACCAGTTCATAGCTAAACCTCCAGCAGGTTTTTGAAACTGTAAATAAATAGCATGAAAAGTTGACCATCTTTCTTTGGTGGAGTAGTTGTGGTTTCCAGCTGCCGCCTTTGAGTTGAAAGTGTAACTCCATACTCAGTAAGAAGACCACCAGAGGATCCTTGGATCCTTAAAAATAAAAGAAGGTTAGAAAATAGGAAAACTTACACTCAAAATCAGAGCAAATTTAGCTGTTGTCAGCTAAGGTTTCCAAGCCATGCTCTTCTCAATCACCTGCTAATCATCCGAGAGCTTGACATTAAATGAGGATGACAGAAGAATTGATGCCTTTGAGTTGTGGTTCTAAAAAAGAGTACTGAATATCCCATGGACTGCCAAAGAACAAACAATGTCTTAGAAAGAGTGCGGCCAGAGTGCTTCTTGGAGGCAAGGATGGCAAAGCTTCATCTTTCATACTTTGGACATGTATCTAGGCAAGGCCATTCCTTGGAAAGGGATATCATCCTTGGAAAGATGGAGATTGAACGAAGGAGAGGAAGACTCCCAAAGAGACAAATTAATATGGTGATTTCAGCAATGCACTCTAGTGTGTTAGAGATGATGAAGATGGCCCATGATAGGGCATGGTTCAGATCAGCTGTTTATACGGTTGCTAAGACCATATTTGACTCAAAGATACCTAACAACAACAGTTAAGGTTCTTTCTGATCTTTACCGGTGCACAAATTTTTCTGTATATAAGTGGCAATGGATATAAGAATTAAAGGTGAAATTAAGAGTCATAAGAAAATGGAGTTTTTTTTTTACCCCCTAGCAGGACGTGCCAGGTTGGTTGGGGTGATTATTATGTTAATGAAATGACCCAGGTATTAAAAGTCCCAGGATAATTTAGTTTGTCTGAGTGACATTCATGGGAAGTACTATACTTTGAGTAAATTTACATTGTCCATAAGCGGAATGGACTGATAGCAGACTCTTCAGCTGTGTCCTGAGGTTGTAAGCCATACAAGAAGAGATTGTCTTCCTTCCAAAGAGCTGCTGATGAATTTGAACCACCAGAAAGAAATTGTATTCTAAAGGATGTAAATTAATATCTGCATAAAGAATAGACACAGAGCAAGGCCTGAGAGGGCTTCCAGCTCAAAGTTTCTGTGACTTGATGTACCTTTCCACTTTCTACTTTTCCCCAGTCAGGAAAACAATGTAATTTCCAGTGCCCAGAGGTTTTATTGGAGTTCTTGTTATGTAATGAAAACTTCAACTCTTCCTCCTGAAATCTGTGGATATTACAAAGTGATCACCAAGTATTTTGCAGCAGCTCTTTATGGCCTAGTACCTTATCACCTCATCTGACCTGTCATGTTAAGATTTGAGTGGTCTGGAATCCTTTTCAGAGACAGTTAAATTGTAAGGTATTTTTAAAAAAAATTCTCAGAAACCCAGGACAAAGACCAAGTTCTCTGAGTAAAGTTATTATAAACCCCACTCACAGGGCAGTTAGCTTTTAGCTTGTAGCCGTATAGTTGTTGTTAAGTGCCGTCGAGTTGCAGGTGATTCATAGCAACCCTATGAAGGAGAGTCCACAACTCTTGGGTGCCTTTCATCCTCTCTCCAGGTTCATAGGATTTCCGGAGGTAAGCTGTTACAGAAGTGGATGCTACTCCTCCTTCCAAAGCCATGCTGTTGTTGTTGTTGTTGTTATGTGCTGCCAAAGCCATATAGTAGAAAAAATATTTTTTCATTATTTTTTTTAATTACCTCATATTTAGCAGAAAGTCATTGGAGGTAAAGAGTAGTTTTTGAAAAACCTATTGATATGGATAAAATTATATAATTCAATGCAGAAATAACAACTGGCCACCTTTTTAAAGCATGTTGTTGTTGTTGTTACGTGCTGTCGAATCGTTTGCAACTCATAGCGACCCCATGTACAACAGCCCTAAACCGTGCTCTATCCTGTGCCAATCTCACTGCCTCTGACACACCCATCCCGAGTACCCCAGTCACTGAATCAATCCACCTCATAGAGGGTCTTCCCCTCCTGCGCTGTCCCTCCACTCTACCCAGCATGCTGTCCCTTTCTAAAGACCTGTCTCTCCTTACAACATGTCCAGAGTATGTCAGACGAAGCCACAGAATCCTTGCCTCCAAGGAGCAGCCTGGTTTAATCCTCTCTACGATGAATCTGTTTGTTTTCTTGGCAGCCATGGTACATTCAATACTCTTTTCCAGCACCACAGCTCAAAGGCGTCAATTCTCTTTCTATCCTCCCTAGTCATTGTCCAACTCTCTGATGCATAACAAGTGATTGCAAAAACCATGGCCTGTATCAGGCGCACCTTAGTCTCCAGAGAGACACTGTTTCTCTTGAGTATTTTGGAGAGGTCCCTAACCGCAGACTTTCCCATCGCAATACGTTTTTTGATTTCCTGGCTACTGGTGCCAAGAGTGTTGACCGTGGAGCCGAGCAAACTGAAGCTGTGAGCAATCTCTATCTCTTCGCCATCCATCCTGATGCTACCGATTGGTCCAGTGGTGAAAATTTTTGTCTTCTTGACATTGAGCCTCAGTCCATATTGAAGGCTGCAGTCCTTGACCCTCTGCAGCATAGATGCTACTAATGTCACTTTTTTTTTTGTAGGTATAAAGAACTACTTCTTTTGTTAATGTAGACATTTCTGTAGTTATTTTTTGTTAATATGGACAGTAAACATACAGGTGGCTATTACATGCTTATAGAAAACAAAGTTGTTTTTTTTTAAACCTGCAAAATCTCCCCTCCTTTCTGCCTGACAAAACTCTTCTCTAGATTGACGAGTAGGGTGCTAAAATGAAAGGTAGTGACTGGATGACTCATGTCCACTAGTGCTGGGCAGTGAATTACATCATGTGCCTTTTTCTCGCCATGGCCTTTGTAAAATTCCAAGCACATTGCTGGA